ATACTCTGCTATTGGCTTTCCAAGTTTGTTGTTCTCAAACCACAGGAAGCATAGAAAGTCCTTGTGATTGGGATCCACATGAAAGGAGTGGAACATCTGCTCAATATTGCACATGATGGTGGTTGTCTCTCTTCTGAAGCGGATTAGTACTCCCAAGAGGCTGTTCATCAGGTCTGGGCCGGGAGGCAGTTCTTTATTTGGAGCTATTGGGGAAATCCAAGGCCTCCCTGTCCGGCGGGACAAGATTAGGATCAGCAGAACTCAAGCAGATGGAATCAGTATTCTGACAAATGCGCTCTACCTTGCACACAAACAATTTGCTGACATCATTTGCCAGCACAGTCTTGTCAAGATGGACAGGAAAGTTCAAAACGGTAGATGTGCCAAGCAGTTTTTTGGCGGTGCAGAAAAGCTTTCTCTGATTGGTTGCATTATCCTCTATAAATTTGGAATAAAACTCTTCCCTTGTCTTGTTCATGAGATTAGTAACCTTGTTTCTCTTCCACTTGAGGTCAGTAAAATCCACAGGCAGCCATATTCCTCTCCATTTTCTTTCGGCTTTCTGGTGTGAGCGCTTAGCATCATCATTGCTATACCAAGGGACCACAGGCCTGCTAACCCAAGTACGAGTCCTAAGCAGAGCATGCTTGTCTGGGAGAGCAGAAAGGGTGCTGTTGTACAAGTGTACATACACCTCTAATTCATTAGCAGTACTTGGTTTTACTGTTGTGCACAGCTTGGTAGACTGCTAATCTCTTTTAAGTTGCTCCATATCAATTGACTTTATTTTCCTGTAGCTGGAAGTCTTCATGGAAAGAGCGGGTCTTGGCAGTGTGAGCCAACACAGGACAGTGGCATGATCAGAGATAAACTGATCCACTACAGGTGTGTGCAAAACCAGGCATTCAGACATGCGTGTTATAGTTAAATCAAGAGTGTGTCTGTGGCGATGGGTGGGCTCATCAACATGTTGCTCCAGACCCAAACAGAACAACCAATAAGATTTCAAGGCTTGTTTAAAGTAACCAATGTAATTGCAGGAAAATGAAAGACAGAGTATCATGTGGCAAATTTTGCAACCTTTGTTTCCAAACTCGTTTCCCCCTTCCCCCCCTAAAAAAAAAAATGGATGAATTTAATTTCAAACTAGCTGAGTACTGCATCAACAAGATATTTCAACTGACCAAGTCCTGTATTTGGGTAATTTCAAAATGGATGTAATAAAGTGGTAATTGAACCTTGTGTCGTGCAATTTTGGTCTGAAAGCATATGTGTGATTTCAAATTGAACTTGCGCTGTGCACTTGTTCGATTTTGAAATCATGTATGATTTCAGCCCAAATTGCACTGCACTCAGTTCAATTACCATTATAAATTGTTGTGTTTAAGCTTACATGATTTCTATGGTTTAATTTAGTGGAATACTTTACTTATGGTATAAGAGCTTATGCTGTTCAGGAAGATTTTGCGAAATTGTTTGAATAATTAAGAACATTATAATAAAGCTTGGGACCAGATTTTTGAAAAATACTAGATACTACTAGATATAAGCTATAGCTTCAGGCTGTACAATGATTACAGTTTTATAACAGTCTTAACACAATCATGGTCAGAATAATAGACACTAATGACTTCATTTTGAGTTTTATTATGGAGGGGTTGTTTCACATAAACCTGATCTAATAGACTTCCAGCTGATACAAATGTAGGTTTGTTCTACTATTTGGATATATCCTGAAGAGTTCACTAACTGTTGGAGTAGTGAAATAGGTACTTGATTAAAGTAATTGATGTTGAGGTCTCCTAATGTGATATCAATGGTATTTCTTTCAAGAATATTGCTGAGGTTGTCAACATATTGGGTAATGTTTTAGTTGTTTTTTTTATATGTTAATAGGAATCCTATTGTTCTGTTAGTGTCAGAGTTAAATACATTAAACATTAAATCATTGGTAACTGAAACATAGTGGGACTGCAGTATATTGATATTGTCTTTAGTACAAATAGCTAGACTGGAAAATTTATCAGAAGGGTGGTCTTGTCTATGCAGTTCATTAGGATGCAAAGTTTGTATGATAGCATCATCAGAGTGGTGGGGTTAAAGCTGAGTTTATGTCAGTGCTGAAATATCACATTTTGTGAGCGATGCATCATGCTTGATGTCAATACTATGTTTTGTGAGGGATGGTATCAGTGCTCGAACTTAACTTTTAGCTCTGGTCTTCCACAGGACCAGTAGGCTTAGAATTTACTGGTCCCAGGAGCAAAGTTACTGGTCATTCTTTACATTTTTCCTGTATGTATTTAATCTGTGTCTGCAAGTAAATAAATGCCAAATTATGATCAAATAATAAAACGCAACCATATAATTAGTACATGTATCTTTTTAGTGATACATAGCTAGGCAACATAAGTGTATTACAATAAATTGTTCCTGGTTACATGTAAGAGTTGCAAGATGCCTACAGTTGCAGCAGTTTTATCAACTCCATTGCTGTCTTACTTAAACTTAGGTCATGGATCCTTTAAGCAAGGCCTTTGCATTCTTTGAGAAGTTTGGTTCCAATGCAAAACTGCCCTTTCAGCTGTGAAGTCCTTGGGACTTGGACAATTGAGGCAGATGTTCATGAGCATGTCAACAGTTTCAACATCAAGTGAGTTTCGATACTCTGATTTAAGTCTCCCCATACAAGAGAATCCTCTTTCACAGCAAGATGAGGACACTGCCATTACCAGACAAATCTCAACCACCATCAACATGTGAGAGAGATCAATTTCATCTGGATGCACCTGATTGAATACTTCTACCCAGAACTCAGCCTGACTTAAGTTTTTAATGTGTTTGTGGTCATAACAGTACAGTTTTAGAGATAGCCACTGATCCTTTGCTACTTCCAATTCGAAAGCATTCCTTCTGAGGACTGCCTGAAAGTGCTGAGCCACAGTAACCAATTCCTCTTCTCCATACAAACCTAGATTGTTTCTATCCTTTGGCCAAGACTTATTATTACTGATAACACCACAAGCTTTTAGTACTGGGGAACTGAAGTCTTCAAATCTTGAGGCTAGAAATTGCTTAGCATCAATAATGATTGCTGCTTTACTTTGCTCAAACAATCTGTCATCTGTGTTGTTTCTTGTAAGACTGACTCCCTTGAACATTGTTCCATCTCCAACTTCTTCTTGAAAGGCAGCTAGATGTCTCTCAGGTCGTCTTCGCATGTTCTCTAAGGCTTGACTAGCTCGCTCAATCTCAGCTTTCACTTGCGAAATAGAGATAGTAACCTTCTGAAAAATAAGTGAGATATTTGATATTTCCACTAGAATGTCCCACATTAAATGAAGGTGAAGCTGGAATTTGTAAGCCTTGAGCTTCTCTGACAAGTTACTTCCACGTCCTTGCATTTCTGCTGAAGAATCTCTAGTTTCTGCTCTGTGTTCAAAGTGAGAAACAATTGCTTGAAATTTTTTTTGAAGCAGAACAGCTAAAGCACGCAGCAAATGGGGAACCCAACGAGTTCCACTGGCTTTGGTTGGCTTTCCCACTTTGATTTCCATTGCCTCTGCCATTTCTCTTAGTTCTCTCAAAGCTTTAGGGGAGTACTTGTAGTGTTTCCAACAACCATTTCAAAGTTCCTTGATGCTCATCATGGTTTCATTTGATTTTAGAGTGTCACTGAATGCCAGTTCTAAATCATGTGCTACACAGTGAATTCCAATAACTTGAGGTGCATCTTGCTTTATCAGTGAAACTACACCACCAATCCTACCCATCATCACAGATGCACCATCAGTACCTGTGCTTATCAATTTCCGCATCCGCTGTGGGTGGATCTTATCCATAACAGACTTGATTGCCTTTAGAATTCCTGGTGCCTTTGCACTTTCAACCTCTGCCAGCTCAACATAGCACGTTTTTGGAGCCCCACCTGATACAAATCTCACATACACTATTTCTTCTTCCAAACATGACACATCTGTTGCTCCATCTCCCATTATAGATATAAACTTAGCAGTACTTAAAGAATCTATGAGATCTGCCCTGAAGGTATTTGAGATGTGTTTACAAAACTCTTTACAAGCGTGATCATTCATATATGTGTTTCTGAGGCCTAAGCCATTCTTTTATTTGCAACGAACACAACTGTGGAAATATAGAAAATAGAAGTTTTAAATAAGCTATATAATATGCTGTATTAAAAAGAAACTCCATTTTCTTTAATGTTTCTTCATTAAGTCTGCTCAATGCAGCACGGAAGGGTCTTTCTTTCCTTGGTCTCTCGCTTGCACGTTTAGCTGCAGAGCTCATAGCATGTCCTTCACTGGCCTCGTGTTCCTTTAAGCTGTCAGTTTGAAAGTTATTTGTTCTGATCCTCAGGGAATAATGCGTGTTTTTTCCATTTGGAAATTCCCTACAAAACTCACAAAACATTTTGTTTTCTTTTTCATCAAAGTGGAGCCATTTGTACCTTTCTTTCCATGATTCTTGAAACTTCCATGTTTTTTTGATTGGGGGCGCAATAGGCATTGTAGGTGTTGTGTTACTTTCTTGATCTTGCTTTCCTCCGAAGAAAGAACTCAGGGAGCTTTGAACTTGTTTTCGTTTGGACATTTCAACAAGTCATATTTTGAAAGAAAATATAGACACCATTAACATCAACCTGCCATATTGAATCCCACAATGCATTTCATTTCAGAGTAGAACCCAGACTATTACCAGCCAGGAGAATGCCTGGCATTTTTTGCTCGATGTTTTTGAAGTGTTTGTTTTCGGGAATAGCCCGATCCAAGGTTATCAACGCCATATTTCAAAGGGTGCAAAACCACTGGGACGAGGGCGCGGCCAAACATACTCTGCAGCGCAAAAACAAGCTGTTCTATGTTTGCTACTTCCTAGTTTTTTTGATTTTTTAAAGTTGAGAGGTTTTGATATTATTCAAAAGGTATTACTTGCCATATTTGAGCATTTTCTACGTTTTTGCCGATGCCGAGACAAGCAGA